AATCTTCCAAGCTATGTCACAATAATTTAAACCAAAAAGAGAAAACTGCTCTAAAAGATCTTAAATCAAACAACAATATTATAATAAACCAGCAAATAAAGGTGAGGCTGTTGTTGTTCTTTACAAAGATGACTATATTACTGAAGTTAGCCACTAACTTGAGGACACTAATTTCTATAAGAAACTTACACAGGATTCTACAAGTTACTAAAACCATCAATGATAAACTTAGAGAACTCCTCCAAAACAAGAAAATTATAACAAAGAAACTTTCCAGCACTTGATACCCAGACAGGCTTGTCCAGGTAGATTTTACTTCTTACTGAAAATACACACCTAATAATCCCAGCTACCCCATAATTTCTAACGCAAATATGGCTACTGAGAAGCTGTCTGTTTTTGTTAACTGCCATATAAAAAGTATTCCCTGTACTTTCTCTTCCAACCTAAAGGACACAACTTACTTTCTTAATTTCGTAGAAGAAATTAATACCAACAGACATTTACTATCTAACAGCCTTCTGTGCACAATGGACATTTCTTCCCTTTACACTAATATTCCACATGATGAAGGACTTGAAATTCTGAAATCTGCCCTTCCTCTTTCTAACCTATCCGAATCTCAAACAATAACTAACCTCGTCAGTCTTGTCTTATCTCTAAACAACTTTGAATTCAATAATGAACATTACTTTCAGGTTAGCAGTACTAAAGTATCAAAATGGTTCCTAACTATGCCTATATATTTATGGGACATATTGAAAGACAGCTTTTACAACAAAGCCCCTAAAATCTCATACATGACATATTTTTTAGAATCACATAAAGACTTTATCTCTTATGCCAATACCTTTCACAAAATACTCAAGTTTGACCTTGATTACTCCCCTACCCAAATTAACTTTCTCGATGTCACTGTCCTTTTAAAACGATGGGATATTACACACCTACAGACAGACCACAATATCTTAACTATAAAGGCAGCCACCCCACTCACACTAAATGTCAAATTCTCTGAATAAAAAAATCTGTTCAGATGAAACAAATTACAGAAAAAATACTAATAAACTAAAGCAAACCATGCTACAAAGGGGATATAAAGATACCAAAATTAACAGACAGATTGAAAAAACTAACAACACTCAATGAAAACCATGCTTAATCATAGTAAAAGTAAGGTTTCAAACAGTATTCCTCCTGTTATTACCTATCATTTTAACCCCCTCTTCATGGGTATCTTTTCTGTGCATGTCGTGAGGTTTTAGTGTATTACATTCATAATTTAATTAAGCTACTTTCTTTTCAGGTTATAGCATAAAAATGTACCCAATATAATCCATATTTTAATAGTATGTAAGTTTTAAGTTCTTAATTTTATAAGGCAATATTTTTTTAAATCCTGAATTTCCATTAGTGTGAAAATTGTGACATTTTCTCCTTATGCATCCCCTCTTCTCCAATTTATTTGTCACTCCTCCAACAAGTATGAAATTTAACATAAATTACTCATTATAATGTTGTCATAGCTCAGGCAAAGTATAATTTTTATAGCCTTCAATGTTATTTGGTTACAGAGCCATCAAATAGAAAATCACACCCCTATTGCCATGCCCACCTGTCACATTCTTTCTTTCAGAAATTGCCAATAGTTCTCTGATGTTCAATGCCCTATTATGTTTAACCAGTAGAAAGCCAATGCTTTACTCTGTCAAATGACACATTATATTATGTGTTTACTCTACAGAGAATTGTCAATTTCACTTTCATTTCAAGCTTTATTCCCACAGAAAACACGTTGATTTTTAATAGCTCTTGTCACCTAGCTAGAAAGCCAGAAAAACTGTCATGGTTATGATATGTTGTTTGCTTTTTGCATGTTATTCTGTGTTCTTTGGTGCATTATTTAATTAAATAAAAAATTTAGTGCCTTACTACCATTTGTATAAAAAAAAGTAGGGTTAAGTGTCATTGACAGTCAACAGCAAAAAAAAGAAGACCTAGGTAAGTACATTATTTCTTGTTTTTCATGTGTAATCTTTATTTATTATTATATAAGTAACCAAAATGTAAAAATATCAAACTTTTTAGGTTAAAGTTTGATAAGGTAAAATACATAATAATAACAACAACAAAATTTTTTCATGAGGTATGCGTGCGAATAGCTCATGCATAACATTAGCTTCACATCTGCCAAGTGATTTACAACTTATAATGGTGCAGATAGTAGTTAGACATGGTTCAAGGAGCAATAAAACAATAAAATTTAAGTATAGGTGAATGTATTCTGTTATGTGTTTAAAGCTGATTAGAATAAACAAATATAATTTTATGTTACAATTTGAAGTCATTCTAGAAAGAAAAAACAGGTAATTTAGATTTATTTTGATTTTTTTTTTTTTTGGTGGTTATGAAGTTATTTGGTGGTCTAATTGACCAACTTTGTATAGACTTATAATATAATTAGGGTAGAAAGAAAACATGTGAAATTTATTTATGAGGTTATAAAAATTATGCAAATGAAATATGAGATTTTTGAAATGAAGAAAATGGTTTTTAATTTTAACGTGAAAATCACTTTGCACTAAGACAAGTCAAAAACAAGACCATATATATTCATGGACAGATTTTTTAGCAAAAATGCTTCATTAAAAAATCTCAATTTTTGTGTACAAAAGACTTTTTAATGTTTACTAAAAGTCTGTCAAATTTTGTGAAGATACACCTACTGTATTAAAAGTTATATTATGGAAACTATAACAAGTGCAAACTGGTTACAAGGTCAGTTGAAAATGACCAACCTTGAAGTGAGAGAGTTAAACTCAGAAACATTTCCTGCAATATGAAAAAAAATTTTATTTACTACTACTACCTTTGACAAATATTTTCTGAAGTTTCCATCATCTTTTTCTCAAAGAGCAAAATATCCTTGTCCATGTAATATAGCTCATTGTCTAACAGTAAGTTTATAAAAACTATCAACTTTTCCAACAGATATGACCATAAACATATTAAGATTTTTAATACAGCATAAAAAATGCAATCACCAGACAAAAATGACTCGTAGAGAGTGTTTCAACAACCATAAATCTTCTATTAACACCGAAAAAGATCTCCCTGTTACCCAACACTTTAACTCATTCTATTATTGATGTAACTCTCATCGGTTTGATAAACAATTTCAAAACTGAAGCCAAAAGAAATAAAAGAAGGCTATTGGATTGCAACTTTATATACTATTCAACCTTTTGGAATACATCTAGATTCCAAATCAGTGATTTCCAATCATTAGTCTGTTCTCTGTCAGAAAAATAGTTCTTATTTTTTGTCCATGTAGTGTGGATTCTCAATCTTCATCCCTAATAGTTTTAATATTATTACTTATTTATGATAATTTCCAGGTTATTTTGTAATTATATCTGTTTAATCAATCTTCATACCTCACTTTTATTTTACTTTATCAACACTCGGTGAATTTTCCCTTGACCATTTTCCTTTTTAAAACAATATATCTCTAACTTATTTATACATAACATTTTTGTTTCTGGTAGTATTGCACTGGGAATGAGAAACACTTATCACAATTCATTGAAAGTTACTCAAAACACTTCTGTATTCTGTGGAGGCCTGAATGATGTCACTCAAACTTTATCTCACACTTTGTTTACACAATCATTCTCAGTTTCCACCTGAAGAAGAAAGGTCTTCCTTTCGAAAGCACTTGGGTTATATGGTAACATATTTTTGTGTTATATTGATTTCTTGAACCTGTGTGTTTTCCTAACATCATTATGTTAATTTTATACAGTATAATATTTATTATACACAAGAGAAAGCAACATTTATATGTGTATGCTTGTATATACATACAGTATTCAGCATGGTTATAAAAAACTTATATTTGAAATCTATTTGTCCAAGAAAATAAAATTTCACAAGAGGTACACTGAGAATCCTTAAATGTTATGTAGAAAAAGTTAGGCCTGGTACACGATGTCTCAAAAACCATGTCATGCCACATATCTAAATTGCTTTTCTTGCAAAAATAGTAGTTTTATTTCTCATCTTTCTCTCTATCTCAACAATAAAAGATTGGGGATTTAAATAAAATATATTTCATTGAACAAGATATGTGAGGATCAATGAACACTTTATTTAGGGATAGGCTTGATATACTGATTAGGAATGACATTAAAACAAATTATTGATCACCTGTGTGAGTTTTTGAAACATTGCACTGTCTCCAAACTTCCTGAATAAAATTTGTGATTCTCCTTCAGCCTATGGTGAAATTAGTCCACTTAGGACAAATAGTTTTTAAGATATAATCATTTTAAATGTGAAGTTTATAACTGCCCTGTATTGAATAATTAAAGCTCTCTTAATGGTGGTTATGTATTAAGTTGAAAAGTCAGTTTCTTTACACATAACTTATAATGTTGACGAAGTAGGAAAAGGCTCACTAAGAAATTGTGGTAAAAGTGAAAGGGTTGAAACCTTTATGGGTAAGTTAATTCTAATTTAGGATACTTTTAATAAGGCAGTCATTTCTGATGCTTTAAAAATATTTAATGTTGTTTGGATATAAAAAACAGAGCACACAAGTTATGGTTAACAAAATAAAGGAAATATTTTTTTATTTTATCCAGTGATTAATCTTCAGGTTCAGAGAAGGGACCCATTTTGCAAAATAGGGAAAAGTTCAGTGCACATAGTTTGAAAATTGGAGAAAATATTTACTTTAGCCAGTATTGCCCAATTTCTTAAATCATTGCAACAATATTTTTAAATATTGCACACAGATCTTGCACATTTTCAGGTGTTAAAATTAATAAAGAAAGTGTTGATTGGCTCTGCTCCTACAATAAATAACAGCTCAGGAACATACTCTCTTATTTCCATTTCCAACAAAAACAGTTACAAGCTTTCTTGATTTATTTATAATTAATGAATTATAATTGATTAAGGTAATAACTATTCAAAACTTTGAATATCTTCTGTAGGTTTTAGCCCATGAATTGATGGCAGTTAGAGAGGCATGCATGAAGCTTGAGGCAGACTATAAGCCTGGCATTACCTTCATTGTTGTTCAGAAGCGACACCATACACGCCTTTTCTGCAGTGACAAAAGAGAGCAAATAGGGAAGAGCGGTAACATTCCAGCTGGTACCACAGTAGATGTTGGAATCACACACCCTACTGAATTTGACTTCTATCTCTGTAGTCATGCTGGAATCCAGGTATAAGTCCAGAATTTATTAGTTCAAAATATCAATAAATTATTACCATTGACTGTGTATTCAGAAAATATTGGTGTAGTAACTGGTTATCTTTTCTTTTAACCTGTGAAATAGGTAGGTTAATTTGTCAGAAGAAATGTATAACAATTTAAAAAATATATATGGTATTGAAAATCTGATAATGATCATGTTTAAAATGTGAAATTTTGTATTTTGAAGTAGTATTTAGTTTTCTGATATGTAAAATTTATGGTAATTTACTTTTTTAATTGCTTGACCTTTTTAAAGTTTTATACTTTGAATTCTTATATGTGGTTTACAAATAGTTTGTTGCTGGAAGTCATTCTATACCTGTTAATACAGGATAATATCATATAACTTCACAGATATTTAACTAAGTTGCTCATACATTGTTGATAGTGCACTGCAGTAAACCATAGTGTAAATTAATGAAAGGAACAGTTTATTTCATATCAGATTACAAAACATATAGTTTTTTGCTCTTGTTTTATTCAAGCAATGGATAACATGTCATTATTTAAAAGAGAAAGTGATGACAAGTTTTTTGCTAATTTGAAACTGAGGAATGAAATAGCTTAAACTCACTTCTACATACATGCAAGACTTCTGAAATGGTTTTACCTCCTTTTACAAAGCTATCTCAATCCTTGTTTGCACTCTTAGCATTGCTAAAAAAAATTATGCATTTTATAATGCCATTTTAGAAAATGTACATATTATCTGACTACTCTCCACCAATAATATTGTGCCATCTACACTGGTGCAGCTAGCTCCTTCTGCTAATCCCATTTAATCCTCACTTTCTCAAATGGTGCAGCATTGCTTAGGTGTGTGTTTTTTCACATATGGCTATTGTTTATGAACATGCTTCTTTGCCATTTAAATTTTTTTTCAACAGTTTTCTTTTACTGCGTTTGCATTCACTTGTTTCAACAATTTTTTTGAACTTATTTCTTGTTACTTAATTACAAGAATTTGTAGTATGAATTTGTGACTAACATAAGTAACAACTTCCCAGGAATTGGGTTTGACCTTATTTGCTGAGGAGGTACAAGCCTTAATTTACAGGAAGCTCTATTCATCTATTTGGCCAGCAATTTATTCATCTTTTCATGTGACAATGTTTCTGTATAAGAATATAATCAATGAGTAGACACTTTGGACTCTCTTTTTCTGGCACCTTCTACCAGTTGTCGTGCTGCCGTGACATTCTCTTTCGTGAAGAATTGTTTTTCTTCCCAGGGGATCTATGGTAAGTACACATCACACATATTTGATATACCCATGGTAGGCCTGGTTCAGATGCCCTTTGTATGACTTTGCACTTATTTGCACTCGGGAGAATTATGTTTTTCAAGTCATCAGTGCTCAGACTTTGGTAAGTTAGACATTTATTTGCCATTTGTCATCTAAGTTACTTTAGATGAATTGGAAGTTAGATGTTGATTATTACTATATATTTTCGGTAAATTTAGTTCTTTTGCACATTCGTTAATATTACATACTTTGTAGACTCAGCAAATGTCATTGTTTTATTAATTCATTATTAATAAAGACTTTACCTATTATGTTTAGATTGTGTATCAGTTACATATTATTACTACTGATAACATCTAATTCTTTGTCCTATTTCAGTAATTTTTTTCTCTTGTTATTGTTAACTATGTGCTTTCTCATCCCTATTTTCATCAGTGTAGGACTTAATTAAGTGTCCTTTGCTTTGTTATCTAGGTTAATTTAGAGGAATTTTTAGTTAGATATTGATTATTAATATGTTTTTTGGTAGTTTTCATTGGTTTGCACATTTATTATTATTACATACTTTGCAGACTAGATACATTTTGATGGTTTATTCATTTGATATTTTCCTGTTCATAAGGCTTAGCTGAGCTTATGCTCATTTTCCTACATTCGTGATTCTAGCAAACTCACTTTCTCCTCGAAAGCTATAGTTCTGTGTTCTTCCCCACAGTTCCCACTTTATCGCTCTAAGTCAAGTTTTCCAGTTCAGAGCCTTACCTTTTCAGACTAACCTTGGCTCTTTAAGTGTTTTGTTGGGAAATACAAACTCTTGACCGACATACTCACTCAGTGAGTCTTTGCATTCTTCCTTCTAGGGATGACTGCTTCTGCTTGCTTCCTCCCATTCATAGTCCAGAGACCGCACTCTTCTGCTCCTACAGGATGCAAAATTGGTGGGATTTCTGATGAAAAAGTGGAAGTCTGTTCTCAATATCCTGTTTGGAGGTGGGTTTCTTCTTTCCAACCTCAGCCAGATCACTTCTTTTTATTTATGTTTTCTTTTCAGCTTCTTTAATTGTAACATCTACTTTTTTGATCACAGTTAGTGGTGGGTGTTGCCTGGTCAGGTATGCTTTGCCTCCAACCCACACTAGTTTAGAGTAACTATATATAATGCTCACTGTAGAGATGGAGTGTTTCTGTAAGACCACTGGCCGCTCACACACTAGATATCAATCAATTTCAATATATAGTAGACCATCACTCATGGACTTCATGAGTAAAGCAGAAGGGGATTTCTGCCCATTCCTGCTGACATTTTCATTGCTTAAATCAAAGTTGGTCTGCTTTTAAAAATAGGAAATTGGAGATACCCATTGCACATTCTCTGGTGTGATGTTCCTTTGCACCCTCCAATGCATTGTCCCCCCCCCTCCCTTTCTCTTGTAGTGGAGCAAGAGAATCACTACCACTTCTTATTCCCCATTGCTGGGGTAGTGGACCATGGAGGCTTCCTCCAGAGTGAGTTTCGATATTTACTTTACAATACTCATGTTTATCCACTCAGTAAGAAGAGTGTGCAGCTAGTTAAACTATTTCTAGAGAAAAAACCTTAATCAGTTCATAATACATTTCCCCTGGATATTTTTTGTCCAGGTGGACTGCACTGGACATAATGACTTACTCAATTTATACTGTTTCCTCCAGATGTTTTTGCCCAGTTGGACTGCACTGGGCAAAATAACTTAATTCATTGATGATGTGGTAATAACGAACATGGCACCATCCCTACTTGTATTTCCCCTGGATGTTTTTTGCCCAGGTAGACCACACTAGCCAATATACCTTCTTCACTCGTTATATGATAAATGCCTACTTGAGTTTCCCCTGGATGTTTTCCCCCAGGTGGACTGCAGTGGTCAATATCATTTTGTCTATTGGTAAATACAAACAAAACCCTACCTGAGTTTTCCCTGGATGTTTTTGTCAAGGTGGACCTCACCAGACAAAATAACTTCATCCTGTTTTACTTGTTTCCCCTTGATGTTTTTACCCAGGTAGACAACAATAATCAATATCACTTCATCAATTGATAAAAACAGATAACCCTTCTGAAGTTTCCCCTGGATGTTTTTGTCAAGGTGATACTCACTAGATAAAATAACTTAATCAGTTGATGTCATCATGAATAGATCACATGGTCCTCATGCCCTCGCTGTTTGTTGTTATTCCGTTTTTGTTTATTCTGTCTTCCCCAACCTACTAATGCCAAGGACGAGCTACGGATCATCATCATCTGTTAGGTTGAGGTTGGGTAGATACCTAGCTCATTCTGTTATATCTTGCTACAATTTGCTCGTATCCGATATCAACATCTATGGTTCACTGCAAACATTTCTGGCTAGACTTTTAACAAAGGTACAGTATCAGGCACAATCTTGTGACAAACAAAACATATATGTTTCGCAGAACATACAGCAATACCATCACTTGTAGAGTGCTGTATGAATTATTACTGCATTCAATTGTGCCAGTATTTTCAATTCCATCCATTTTGTGGTACTTTCCTATTTCCTGGGTGAAGAGTATACCTGTTCCAGAAGTAGTGTGTATTCTACAGTTGTTTCATTTTCATCTCATGGGACGCAAATTCATTTTGGGTGGTTGCTTTCTGCTTGGTTTTCACCTAAACTAGCCCCTCCACTTTCCAATATGGAATTCTAACTTTATGTGAGAGGAGGTAAGGCTACTTCAGAAGTTAGCATTTTCTTACATAGAAAGCCTATATCTGATAGGTACTTACCTCCCCTCACACATTTCCCACCCTTCCTCCCCACTGCCAGTATTTTTATGTTAAAATCTGCCAATTCTTGAAAGTGAGGATTAAGTGTAAATAGCAGATGGAATTAGCTGCACCAGAATAGATGGCATAATACTATTGGTGGAGAGCAGTCACATGATATGAAATGGTGCAAAACTGATGGGGTATAAAAACTGGTGCGCTGATTGCAGAAATGTTTTTTTACCAATGCTTAGAGGGCAAACAAGGATCGAGATAGCTTTGTGTGAAAAGAGGTGCCTATTGGAAATACATTTTCAGTAAGAAAATGTTAAGTTATGTATAACTATTAGATATATTCTCCTAATGATATATATGTTCAAAAAATTAAAAATGATATTTTGCTACTTAAGACTTGAACTTCTGTGTATTTCAAATGTAATTTGTCTTTATGCACATGTATTATAATTTGATGATTCTTATAGCTAAAAAACACAGTTTTTCTTTATTTGAGAAATTTATGATCAAGTTGATAGAGCCATATGTCAGATCTTTAGCATCTGCCATGACCAATTTTTTTAAAGGCATAAAAGAATGCTCAGATTAATTTAAATCACTTTATTGTAGAACTTATAATGATGATATATTAGTTTTTCAGTTGCAAATCATGCTAGTAATGTTGTGGAGGATTTTAATGATAAATACCTTAACATGAAATTCGTTTTTGAACATGTTTCAAAATCAAATTTTCATGATGAATTACTACATATTAATAAATGTAAGTTTGTAAGTCATGATTTATTTTTCTTTTTGATTCATTAGAACTGTGAACGACTAGGAATTGTCTAAGGGTAATATGTACTTGCTGACATTTATACATCCGAAAAACTTAGTTAGTAATTTGTTATTGTCAAAATTTATTGTTTTCTATTTGAAAGAATTAATGTTACAATTAATA